GACTGACTGACTATGGGGTCCTTGGTGCTCTCTGAGCTTGCTTGTTTTCTTGCAGACGTTTCATTACCAAACTAGGCAACATCATCAGTGCTAGCAGGGAGTGGGATTTGTGGAGAGGAGGAGGAGGAGGAGGAGGAGGAGGAGGAGGAGGAGGAGGACGACGACGACGACGACGACGACGACAACTCTGGGGTCCTTGATGCTCTCTGAACTCAGTGGCTTTCTTGCAGATGTTTCATTACCAAACTAGGTAACATCATCAGTGGTAAACATCTACAAGAAAACCACCAAACTCAGAGAGCGCTAAGGACCCTACATCCTTTTTAAATGATGTTTTTTTGGTTTCTAATCATTCAACCCAGAGCAATACAAACCCTGGACAAAACTGGAGCCAGAAGTAAATCTGATCTGATTTCTCATCATACTTTGTTAGAATATATAATTGATTTGTATCCTGCCTTTATTATTTTTATAAATAAGGCAAGTCAACGGACATATCCAACACACCTAGAAGGTCCCTTCCAACTCTGTTATTCTGTTATTTTTTTTGTTATAGATGCCGTCTTAAGTTAAAGATCGTTATTTTCTTGGCCATGAGCTGAAACCCCAAAATCGCTGAAGCGCTGATGTTTCCCTAAAAATCAAAGTCTTTCGAAAACTTTAAAAATGCTTTTGATCTCTTCCCCAACCTTTTAAATTCCTGACCGAATCCTCTACCTTTTTTCCTTTAGTCTGACCTCTCTTGTTGCTCTTAAAAAGAGAGAGAAAAAGCTTTTTTGATTTTTCTTTTTTATCTTCGGTCTATTAATAATAGATCTAAAAGGTTTTTTTTATCATGCATCGACAAGCGGTCTCTCACTGAACTATTCCACATTCAATATTAGCTTTTCTCCTCTAATTAACCCTGGAATCTGCCTGTTATTTATTTTTATAACATCCCCATTGCAAGCTGATGGACTTCTCACCCATCCTGCAAATCTTCTCAGTACAGGCGATCCTTGACTTACCGTCACAAATGAGCCCCCAAATTTTCATTGCTAAGCAAGGTGGTTGTTGTGAATTTTGCCCCATTTTAGTATAGGGTCTCCTGTTTGAGCAGGGGGTTAGACTAGAAGATCTCCAAGGTCCCTTCCAACTCTGTTATTCTGTATTCTGTACAGCAGAATGCAGCAAAATAAGGATGGGAAAAGTCTTGAATGTATTTGGGTCGATGTAAAAGGAAAATAGAATAGAATAGAATAGAATAGAATAGAATAGAATAGAATAGAATAGAATAGAATAGAATAGAATAGAATAGAATAGAATAGGAAGAATGTAGAATGTAGAATAGAATAGAATAGAATAGAATAGAATAGAATAGAATAGAATAGAATAGAATAGAATAGAATAGAATGTAGAATAGAATAGAATAGAATAGTAGAATAGAATAGAATAGAATAGAAAAGAATAGAATAGAATAGAATAGAATAGAATGCAGAACAGAATAGAATGCAGAACAGAATGGAATAGAATAGAATAGAACAGAATAGAATGCAAAACAGAATAGAATAGAATAGAATAGAATAGAATAGAATGCAGAACAGAATAGAATGCAGAACAGAATAGAATAGAATAGAATAGAATAGAATAGAATAGAATAGAATGCAGAACAGAATGGAATAGAATAGAATAGAATAGAATAGAATAGAATAGAATAGAATAGAATAGAATAGAATAGAATGCAGAACAGAATAGAATGCAAAACAGAATAGAATAGAATAGAATAAGAATAGAATAGAATAGAATAGAATAGAATAGAATAGAATAGAAAGATCAAACAGATTCTTGACTAACCTAGCAGACAACTTTGTCTCCCAAAAAGTAGAGAAGGGAACTAGAGGGTTAGCTCTCCTGGACTTAATTCTCACTAATGGAGATGAAATGATAAGAGGGGGTTGAAGTTACGGGAACCTTGTGGGAAGAGAGTGACCGTGCAATATTATGCACACATTTTTTTAAAAAAAAACTATTTAATGTTTTTGCTTCAAATCGTTCACTGAATGTTTTATCCCCAACTAGAATTACCAGCTGGGTTTGTAAGGAGCAAAGAGCACCATCTAGTGACGGTGCATCCATTTCCTATGCTTCTTTTAAGGAGCCAGAAGATAGGGGGGGGGGGGGGAATTCAATTTAATTCCTCAAACTGCTCACTTTTCTCGCCACATGAACTAAGCGAATCGCTGCAGTTGCTGAATGAAGAACACAGTTGTTAAACGAATCCGGTTTCTCCATGGACTTTCCTTGTCAGGAGGTCGCAAAAGGGGATCACGTGATCCCAGGGACACTGCAACCGTCATAAATGTGAGTCAGTTTAACGATGCGCTGGTGACACCCCTCCCATGTTTAACATTCCCAATAGAAGAGTGGCTACCCAAACTCTCTCAAGTTCTCCTGAAGAGATTCCCTCACATGCCTCTTGAAGATTCTTCCAGCAAAGAATACAGAATACGAAGAGAGTTGGAAGGGACCTCAGTGGTCTTCTAGTCCAACCCCCCTGCTCAAGCAGGAGACCCCATAGCATTCGGGACAAACGGCTGTCCAATGTCTTCTTGAAGAGCTCCAGTGATGGAGCACCCACAACTTCTGAAGGCAAGCCCTGGCTCTCACTGTCAGGAAATTTCTCCTTAATTCTAGATTGCTTCTCTCCTTGACAAGCTTCCATCTGTTGCTTCTTGTCCTGCTGTCAGATGCTTTGGAGATTAGGTCAACCCCCCTCTTCTTTGTGACAGCCCCTCAAATCTGTGACAGCCTCTGAAAGGAGACACCTTCTCAGAAGGGTTTTGGCCCAAAGATCTTCTCCACGCTACCCTTGAATGTCCCAAGGGTGTTTTTTCAGGAGGCAACTGGACTTCCTTCTTTTTTTCTTGGAAGATGTTTCTCTTCTCATCCAAGAAGCTTCTTCCACTCGGACTGGATGGTGGGAAAATGGGAGGATCATCCCCACCGTCCAGTCAGAGCTGAAGAAGCTTCTTGGATGAGAAGCGGGACGTCTTCCAAGAAAAAACAAGGAAGTCCAGTTGCCTCCTGAAAAAACACCCTTGGGACAACCACGATCTGGATGGCGGAGGACCTCCATGGACCTGCCCTTGAGTAGAACTGACACCAGTTGAGGACAACACCGAGGGCTGGATCTCCAACTGACAGCTGTCACTGACTGAGGTAAACAAGAAACAAAAGTTGGGAGAGCTAAATCCAGGAACGTTGACATTTGTGCCGTGGCATCTCCCACAAACCAACAGGTGCGTAGAGCCAGCCGATCCAAGCTGAGAGAAAAGGGCAAAGTTAAAGATAGACCGAGATCTCCTCAAGCAGACCTCAGCAAAGAGTTCCAAGCTCACCACGGCTTAACCTAAGCAGCACCCAAGTGATTGACCCACCCCCAAATTTTGTTAGTGAAATGAAGAACGCCTGAAGAGAAAAAAAGCAGGGCTAGGTCTGGAGGAATCACGAAGGCTTTCTCCTTCGGGACTTGATCCCTGAACTCAAATGATTCTCTTCCAAATATATTTGGGGCGAACTCTGTTGGACAGAGTCTTTGTGGTTCAGACTTGGAGGGGGGAAGGATCCCATCAATTGGTCCCCCCCGCAGCGGACTTGCACAATTATTCCCTCCCCAAACCCTGAGGTTGCACCGGAAGGGACTCCATCCTTCAAACTCACCTGTTGCCTCCGCATGAACCATCCAAGAAAGAGCCAGCAAAGTTATCCCCAGAAGCTCTGACATTTTTCTCTCCCAGCCTGAGAGACCTCGGGAGAAAAACTCTGCCGGGAATTCCAGATGGGGAGACTCCAGCAAACAGGCAGGCAGGCAGGTAGGCAGGCAGGCAGGCAGGCAGGCGTGCGTCCTTGGTTCTTGGCTGCCACCTCGGAAAACCCCAAGGGGACGCCGTGGAGGGCTTTGCTTCACCCCGACAGGGATGGAGGTGGTTCCCTCGGCCTCCGCCGCTGTCAAAAAACGCACGGAGGAGAAATCCGGAGGTTCAGCCTGGCGGCTGTTAAATATTCATCAGAAGGAGAACCGTGGCTGAGGTTCTTTTTTAACTCCTTGTCTCCTGAGAAGTGGGCAGAGAGAGAGAGAGAAAGGAGAGCAAAGCTTTTTTTAAAAAAAAAAAAAAAAAAAGATGGGGGGAATGACACAGGCCCTATTTATAGGGGAGGGAACTCTAAGAGGACCTGCTCTGGATCCAACAGAGGACACGCCAACATCTGGAGGAGGAGGGGGGGTCCTTAGGAGCTGCTGCTTCCTGGACCGTGGATTTCAAGGGATGGAAAAGGGATGTGAATCAAGATTGCATTGAGGTGGGGGGCGGGGAGAAAATGGGGAGGCTGGGCATAAATGTTCTGCCCCCCACACACACACACCTCAGCGTCTTGCCGTCTTAAATATATACAAGGATATTTTTTTTTTACTTCTTATTTCTTTATATCCTGCCAGTATTATTTCTGTAAATAACTCGAGGCGGCAAACTTATCCGACACAACTCCCTCCTCCTCTTTTCCCCACGACAACAGTCCTGTGAGGTGGGCTGGGCTGAGATAGAGAGGGATGGGTCCAAAGTCACCCAGCTGGCTTTCGTGGCTAAGGTGGAATTAGAACTCAGAGTCTCCTGATGACTGGCCCAAAGGCACCCAGACAGCTTTCATGCCCAAGGCAGGACTAGAACTCACCGTCTTCTAGTGATTGGCCCAAAGGCACCCAGACGGCTTTCGT